TCCAGAGATCCCTTTGGCAGAGGACCTGCCGCCCACAGTAGCACGAGGAAGGAATTTCAGGGCTGCACCTTTATCGCAAGTAACTGATGGGAGTTTGTCCAGCACTGCCAAATCAACCCCCTAGATGTCAGGAGAATGCCGGCAATGTATTGATCAACCTCTGATCACGTGGCTAACACAGGTCGGAGTAGTGGCAGTAGGAATGAAAATAAACATTCAAATAAGTCGCGTCAATGATAATTAGGGTGCAGCATTGTCAGTTGTTTAAGAGTGTATATAGTTTTTTTCACGTTGGTGGCAGGGCCCTCTTTAAAAGGAGCCTTGAGACTCAGCAAGGCGTTCCTGGGTCAACAATTATAACAATAAATAATACGAAAAGAACGGTGACTAACGTTAAAGACGTTGATCCTCCTCCTATCGTGCTCAGGAATGGCCAGTCCGCCTCCCGTGAGCACACACTATATTATATTTGACTCTTATTAGGCAGTGATAATGATGCAGGTGGTTAGTTTACTTATTTAATAAGGCATTGTTAATGACACATTTAAGACTTACTGTCCCATATAATGGACCAGCACTAATAAGATGTGTTCGAGTGGCACGGGGTACAATAATGCCGCAACACATTTCAACCGCGGTATCAGTACATGTCAGTTACGCGCTACTATTATGATCAATTGGACATTAACTTCTAACCCTTTTACCAGCTTTGCCTGATGGGAGCCCAATGCATATTAATCAAACTTTGCTTTGTTGGGTTCATTTGATTTGATTGATAACCTTAATTGGAAAACAAGATCAGCTGTGTGGCCAAGACACACGGTAGCACCAACGGATGGAAAATGCATTAAAGCAGAGTGAGATGCGTTCGCCAACGGAGTAATGAAGACTGCTGTGCACATCACTCACGGCGCACGTAGATATCGATGCGAACATTACGTTCATTAAACATCAACGTGTCTTAAAATGTCATGGACGGCCGCCCCCCCCCCCCCCTTTTCTGTTGGCGTGCCTGAGCCAGTGGAGGAAATTCCACGTTCCTTTTATTTTGGAGGCCAACCGTCACATGATGTAACGGCAGTTCGTATGTATGTTGTTCTTCATCTTTCTCACCGTACGTAGCCAACCGCGGTGATCGGAGATGCGGGGGAAAGACAACAAACTAAACACAAAAAACTACGTTCTAAAGAAATGAGCTTTCAATCTAGACACGTGTTATAAAGCGGTACCTATTTTATCGGCCACAACGGTATGATGGGGTGACAGAAGTAATGTCACTAAACGGTCACTGAGATCACCTTAAATGCACACGATCCCGTCAGCAATCAGACGTTAAGCGGGGCTGAGCCTGGATAGTGCCGGGATGGGTGATCACCACACATAAAGCATATGTCATAGGCACAATGGGTAGCAGAGGGCAATGCAGCAAAACCCACTCCTGTTCTGTAGTCCCTTCACCTTCTCGCACTGACCAGCGTGGTGAAGTATGGTCAAGGAATCCTCACGATCCACAAGGCGTGGGGAAGCCCTCGTCCGGCAGTGGATGGACAACCGGGCTGTCCGTGTCCACATACAATCGTCACGAACAGGTCCTGTGAACTCGGGGCTGAGTGCGATCAGACTTTTGCACGGTTGGCTACGTACAGTGCGAAATAAGTTCAGCGTGCGTCCATACAAACGTGCCGAGCGGCAGTCGGGGTTGTGCCCAGGAGTCCTACCTCTGGACAGAGCAAAACTAAAAAAAACACAAATCTCTGCTTCCTTGTGAGTAATATTCCCTCCGATATCTCTTGGAACGATTTCGCACTCGCGCGGTTCTCCCTAAGCCTGTAGCGTGACCTTGTTTAAAAAAAAGGGGGGGGGGGTATGACACAGCCGATGTTAAACGCACGTTAATGATCCAGCAATTCACTGATTCACTCACTCGCTTGCTCAGGAGCGGTGGTCAGTCACCTCCTTGTCACTCTTCCTTCGCGACTGTTCACGGGAACTTCACTCAACGATTCCTCCATCCAGGTCATCTCATCAACCACCACGTGGCGGCGACGTCACCACGGCTCTTGTGCCAGGCTAGAATCAGAAAGGAATCAGAATCAGAATCAGAAAGGGTTTTATTCGCCATGTAAGTTCACACCGACACGGAATTTACTTTGGCAGGATGGTGCATACATTCAACATATAGGAATCTAAAATCTTAAATAAGTTTTAAACAAGTCTTACTATAATAAGGGTTAAAAGTCTAACACCAAGGGGCTGAAGTATATAAAATTAAATACATATCGAATATAAAATAGCTTTAAGATATAATTTAAAAATAAAAAATACAAATAGGGTAACATAGTTAATATCGGCAAGGTGTCGTTATGTAGATCAAATGTTAAAAACAGTGTTAGCCCTTGGCCTTGTTTAACAGGCCAGCAGCAGATGGGAAGAAACTGTTTTTATGGCGTGAGGTTTTGGTCCTGATGGACCGAAGCCTTCTGCCGGAGGGGAGTAGCTGAAACAGAGAGTGTCCAGGGTGGGAGAAATCGGCCATAATCTTCCTCGCTCGCCTCATGGACCTTGTCGTGTGCAGGTCCTCGAGGGTTGGTAGATTGCAGGCAATCACCTTCTCAGCAGTGTGGATGATACGCTGCAGTCTGCTCTTGTCCTTGGCAGTGGCAGCAGGTGCACTTTAAGGCCAAGTGGAAGTGTTTAACGCCCGCTGACAGGAGGTCACGGGGCAGACCCAGGTGCCATGGGTTGACTGACTGAGATGACTGACAACACACTCACTCGCTGGCTCACCCACTCGCTCACCCACCCACACACTCACCGACTCACCACACCGCAGGTCACACAACGCTTCTCCTTCTGCGTATGCCCTTGCACCGCTCAACTTTGTAATTCCCTTCCAAGGTTTATTTTTTGCTGAGCTCTTACAATAATGGCCTCGGTCAATTCAAGAAAACGACTTACACTCATATCGATTACGACTTTGAAGGTGTTGTTGGTTGCTGGCCGTTTGGCGTATTGAGCCTTTGGGCGCGTGCTCAGGAACTCTTGTGTATTATATATAAAACAAATGTTAACGTTCAAAATGTATACGGGGAGCTGAGCTCTCATTTGCCCGTCAAACTGTGGCGCTGGTATCTGCCCAATTATGGTTCCTGGAATTGCTACTCAGTTGGTAAGGTCAAAGGTCGAGGTTAAACTGCATGACAACCCCGTGGAGCCCTGTATATCCGGCTGCACTCAGCACTCTTTATTTTACGATATTTTACCGCTCCAATTTTGTTAAATAAGGGATAATGCATGACCACATTGTATCGGCCCAAGTAATGTGCCAAATCCAAAGGTTAAAGCTCAAGAATAGATTCAAGTTAGCGCAGCAAAATGTAGAGGCAAAGGTGTAGCTCTACAATTGCTTCATCATACCACTGCTGGCAGAAGAGGAAGCGGTGGCTTCATAGAAGCATGACAAACCTATTCTCCACGCTGGCCAGACGTCTTGGTAGAGGTAGTACCCACACTTTACCCCACCGCATAACTGGCGAGCTGTGGCGGTGAACCCATTTATATAAACATGCCCATTGTTTCAACTGCCACGCCAGGAGATGGAACCGGGCGGCCTCTGGGTTGCAAGTGCAGTGTGCGAACCGTTACACCACCGCTGCACCACGTCGTTGTGTTTCTACATATGAGTCGTTTTGTTTCTAAAAAAAAAGTCAAATAGTCACCAGGCTTAACACGTTCCGCGCCGCTCACCTCCACTGAGGTTCTGAGCGAGTGCTGGACCGGTCAATCTATGGGGTGACCTCTGTTGACATCTCAATCCTGCAATCCAGCACTTTGGAGATGGGGTTGGTGAATCGTACAGAGGTCGCCTGGTGTTGGAGACACCCATCTGACAGGCTACCAGATGGCATGTAGAAGGCAGTACAGCAAGGGGGACACGTGTCTCTTTGCGTGGGTTGCTGAGTATTATTCCAGACACTCCCGCGTATCAAGAACACTCTTAAAGGACGAGTCACACACTCAAATCGGCTGCTGCCAGGAACACTTGCTGAGTATATAAAAGACGAATATTTTGAAACACCACTGCTGCCCATGTGCCCATACTCACCGAGTCTGTTAATTTACCAAGGCAGGGCCAAATTAGATAATCACCACCAATGCTAGTGATCACACATCACCCTTCCTTCCTCATAGTAACTTTAACTACAAAAGCAATCGTAGATATTTTTATTTAACGAATGCTTGCTCGATCGCCCTGTTGTTGTGTTTTCATAAAATGCCAAGTTACCATCAGGTTGTGCGGCATCACCACCTGGTGCTAATTTTACCACCCCGGAGGAATGATGGGTGGTAGTTTTGGCTGTGACCAAGATTCTAACTCATGGTTTTTTTGATTAGCAGCTTGTCGCCGTACTGCCGGAATTATGCTCTGTCAAGATTGAATTCTGCAGAATAAGCCACATGCACCAGCAAGCTGTCTTAAGAAACAATCTTCAGTGTGGAATGGATTAGAAAATAACGACAAAATAAATGTGAATAACCAACGATATGGCGATGAAAACAGATGTAAATGATTCAGCTATGACACAATGTACTATGTAAAACAAACACGACCGATACGCTGTTAGACAATATGTGCGTTATGCAGCCACCGCTCTGTTATATATCACGTAATTGTAGGTTATAGACATTCATATAGTTATAATACATTAATTCAAATATAAACGGGATATGGCTCAGTGGCTGCAGCAACTGGGGCAAAAAAATAAATAAAAAAAGCACAAGTTTAAATCTGGGGCATGATAATCTCATGGCCCTCATCCACATCATCATCATTACCATAATCACCATCGTTATCATCATCGCCATACTCACCGTCGTTATCTTCATCATCATCAATGTCATAACTACCATCGTCATCCTCATTATCATCATCATCATCGCCACCATGATCACCATCGTTATCCTCATCACCATCATCACCATACTCACCATAGTTATCCTCATCACCATCATCACCATACTCACCATAGTTATCTTCATCACCATCACCATAGTCACCTTCGTTATCATCATCGTGGTCATAAACATTCATCATCACGATCACCCCTTTGGAACTTCATGAAATGGGCACCATCTGGTGAGACGACACAGCATGGGGGGCAAAGTCAAACATGCTCATTATATCGATGGACGTATCCCTGCCATGGTAACGTGCAATGTTTCCCGATTAATTAGGATCACCGATAAACATGGGCATTGCTTTCATGGTCATTTCAGCATGGAGACACCTGGGGTTGTTGTAAATGTACGTACCCGCACAAATGACCTTCACAAAAACAACAGCAATGAATTGAGTTCCTTTAACATACCATCAATGTCATGTGGCCACTCCCACCTCTTGCAAGACGTCTGACTAGCATGGAAGAGTAGGCCAAAATAACTCGTAGAAGTGATGTATAGTAAGTATTCTGCCAGCAGTGCCATGAGCAAGCAATTTCAGGTCAACACATTTATATCGAAAATGAAATAAAGAAATATAATGAAGTCACGTAGAAGGGAAACAATAAAAGAATAAAAATATATTGCTTTATATTTGTATTATTTTATTGTTTCCCTTCTACGTGACTTTACCGAAAGAACCAAGAATATGAATCCCTGCAGTCACGAAAGCTTTAAATCAAAATATTATGAAATAACACAAAATCTAGCAGTGTGACACTGCTGGTAGAATGGTCGATTCGCAGTTCTAAAGTTGCGAGTTAAAATCCTGGTTTGGGATCAACGCAGCCCAACATCACTCCGAATCAAAAAGAAACACTGCCCTAGTCCACATACATTGACAATGAAGTAGCCAAAATGAAAAAGTGATAGGTAAGCAATTGGGGACAAGTTTGTAAATATAGTCCATCACAGCGAGTTTGTAAATGAGGGTCATTTACCATGCCACTGGAGAATTGCATTGTTGCCTCCCAAGATATCGCCCTGCCGAGTAGCGATACAGCCCTGCAGTTAGCTTGATCGGTCTGATATGAGCACGACTGGGTGCTGGGGAGAGCCGTTAAAGGTGCAGCCCTGCCATTGTTCACTCGTACCACGGCTGGTGGGCCACTATTCCACTGTGGCCAGACATTTGGGAATACCCACAACTTTATCCCACCGCAAGCAATCCTGCTGATTAAATAAGTGTGGATGTACCCATTCATACTGATTGGCCGGACAGACGCGGGCATATTTAAATAAACTTTGCCCCGTTGTTTCAACTGCCGTGCCAGGAAAATGAATCGAAATGGCGACCACCGGATTGAAAATCCAGTGTTCTGATCATAACATCCGTCGTACACACATTACTGTACACTTACATCCACACTTACATCCAAAGCCAAGAAGCTTTGGCGTGCAGACAGCATGAATGCATATTCTGCTCCAGCGCGTAGAGTTTGTTTGTCTTTTTCCCAATGAATAGAACCTGCCGGGGCTCTGGATTGTAAGTTCAGTGCGCTAACCAATGCGCGCCACGGGGAGGCTGGGAGCCGTAGGAAAGTCTCTCCACGTGCGACTTTGCGATGACCTCTGTTCCACGTAATCTGAGGACACATCAAAAATGTCATCACCGGCGATAAGACAGAAACCCTGGGAGTATTATTCCGTGCGCTCCTCCTGGGCCAAGGCAGTTGTCCCCGAGTGAGGACGTGGCTCGTAAGTAGGAAATGGCTTGAGCAGGGCTCTGAAACTGCGGAATGAAGCTGCGTGCGCGTGCCCGTCTGCGCGTATCACCCCTGGGAATCGTGAACTCGTATAACCCTCTTAAAGTGAAGCGTCTAAAAGTCTTAAACTCTCGTGGCCGTCATCCATCGTGCTGCGTAGGAGTAGGAGTGCAACGGAGCGTCAGGTCGTGGATTAATGTTGATTCTTTTTATACATTTGATTTACACAGAGACCTTCCTAAGTATCCTTACCAGGTGACAATTTGAGCTCGATCGATATTTACTTTGTCCAATGCAGATCTCTATCCAGTACACACCTGGCGCACGTTTCTACGACTTTTCTTTTGAAATAGATGGGGGTTTGATGCTCACACATACAACGGGGCATTGCCTGTGGTATTTTTTTCGTGACCCTGATCCAGTGGTGAGAAATTCAACATTTCTCACGAACAGGGACACCTGCTATTCGATTGTAACCTTAAAACATCGCAGTGAATTGTTTTTCTGCTTATTTGCGGCAATTGTGGTGCCTCGATATATGGTGAACTTGAAAAAAAATCGAACGGGGGTCGTTTTTTTTTTAAATGACTAAAGTTATTTTTTTTATGAAACTAAATGTTGACATATCCACTTTGGGCTTGTTCACACAATGCGGCTAATTCCTTAGCGTAAAAGGCAACGTGCACCCTTGTTCAAAGGCACATTCAGGCCACCTTAGAATTTGTGGGTATGCAACCTTCACAATATTGCCCAAGCTCAACAGAGGGCGTGCGTGCCTGCGTTCCAAACTGTCCGCTCGTCTCGGAAACATTGAAAATGTGGTCTTAAAAACACAAAATGACAGCAACAACGCAATTCAGTTCCTCGAGTAGCTCCCAGCATGTGGAGCGAAGAGTCAGACATCGTGCCAAACAACACGCGGTACGACCCGAAACGGAGGCGAGAGTGCCACAGTAGCACAACCGCGACAAACCCGACGCAGTTCCATGCAAGTTTTGTCTCTTTATTTTTTTAGAGATTGTAAAAAAAACAATACAGGCTTGTCTCTGGACAGGGCGCCTTTGCTTTATACATTTCATTGGGACGCTTTTTTTTTTAGCTGAACTACCCAGACAATTTTGTTGGATGCACTGAATGCAATCCGGAAAATATGCCTCGCCAAGATATTTATATATGATCAGAAAAACACTATAACAGCCTCCAGCTGAACTCCACATGCAGAATTGCACTGGCGATTGTTGCCGCATTAAGATGCCATTGTGGCGTTGGCTGGTTCGACCCGTTAATCGCAATCCTTCAAAAACTCTTGCAGAAGCATCATTTACAAATATTCCAAGGGAGACGTGTTTCCATCTGGGTATTAAAGGCCCTTCTCCCAGCAGATCTATTAATCAATGGGCAAAAAAAATGTTGCCGGAGTGGCGACCAATGGAAGGCCTTTGTCGCAGGTCCAGTGGGATTCCGCAGCCCAGATTTCGGGCGACTGAGAGGGCCTCCCGTTCCCATCGCTACCCCCCCCCTACCCCCACCCCCGGCTTCCCCCCCCCCCTCCACACCACCCCTACCCCTTAAACTCCCCTTCTGCCTTTTATTGGGTAGGCATTTGACTGGTAATTAGCTAATTGCTTGCAGTGCCCAGAGGAGTATCACAAGCGGAATACTAACCGGGAACTTTGTGTGCACCCTCGTCCTTGGCTCCGACGATGAATCGCCGTACTCCCGCACAGCGGGCGAACGCGGAGAGCCTCCAATATTTCTTGTCTCGTCAAATGGCGATGCAGTCCGAGGCAAACGCCGCTGGAGGCCTGCGAAGCGATCCGCGTTTGCGAGGCGGCGCCGACGCCGCCTTTGCGTTCGCGCGGTTCGTGTTCATCCGTGGCGGTCGCGCAAGCGCGGTGTAGATGCTCGCACACATATCCGTCACGCCCGTGAAAGAATGAAAACCGTGTTTTTTTATGTGCGTGCCAAAACAGGGGCATATTGAAATTTTGATTTAAAGCTTTCGTGACTGCAGGGATTCATGTTCTTGGTTCTTTCGGTAAAGTCACCACGTAGAAGGGAAACGATAAAATAATAAAAATGTGTTGCTTTATATTTTTGTTATTTTATATTTTTATTATTTTGTTGTTTCCCTTCTACGTGACTTTACCGAAAGAACCAAGAATAGGAGCATATTTGCCAGTCTCAGACTTTATTAGTCCTTGTGGCATGTGTCAGCTGTTACCTTGCAGCAGCTATACATCCTTCTTGAGGCTGTATCAAAAAAACTCGGTGGCATATTGCTTACTTTTACAGGCAAATGTGTGTTGGTAAGTTAGTCCATTTTGTTTAACCAGGTAAGAACTCAAGGGGCCGAGAGAGTCTCATTTGCAATAGGGACATGGGTCACCAAAACGATGCAAACTAAACAATAAAAATCACACCGGAAAAACCGTGTTACGAGAGAAATCTAATATGCTGATCAAGCATATATCAACATGCGAGGAAGATTGCTACATCACAGATCATGAGAGGTGGTGGCTGCTTTAGGAATGCCTTCATCTAGCAGTGGATTAAGCGTGGATGATGAAATTACAATTTCAAATACATTTCCCTGTGACCCGTGTGTAGTAGCAAGAATAGAATTGCAAGGAATTGCAGTACTGATGACAGCAGTTCTGACTGCATCTGTGGTGGCTTTGCGATCCAGTGATCTGGGTTCTCTGAATAATGTTAGTCACATGGCTGACACGAAACCCTTCATGTTGCAGCAGGCAATGGCCTGGAAGGGGAAACAAAACAGAACTACGTTTAAAGTCCACGCGTCTCTCCCACCTGACGTTAAGCAGCAGCATAAAACAACTCGTGTTTTAGTAGCTTGCTACACGCCAATCATCAAGTATATTTTTCAAAATGTAGACATCAAAAACCCAGCGTAGGCCCTTGCGAGTGCAGAGCTAAAGTTGTGCAATGTTTTGTGTGTGTGTGTGTGAGGTCATTAAATTACTGGGCTGAAACCATACACCCGTCACACTTGTGACATGAGCAACTTGTTTAACCACACGGGATTTGAACCTGTGATCCCATTGGTTTTGGTCACGTAGTTTGAGATGAGCATTCAGCCCTCTGAGCTACCCAGGATCTGCCCGATACATTGCTAACATTACCACAGGCCGATTTTAAAAGAATCCGATTCACCCCTTTCAACTGCCAAATCCGAGCCATGTCGAGGTCGGTGTTGAACCCAGGAGGTTGCCGGTTAGGAGGCGTGAGTCACTTTCCACTGTAGAAGCCGTGCCGTGCCGCTGACATCACACGTCACGTGAGAGTGCGAGACCGCTTCTGGGTGATGTGGTGACGGCATGTCGTTCATATTCCACACCATCGACTCACTATGTTGTCCTTTCCCCACACCTCTGATAAGTGCGGCTGGCTACGTACGGTGTGAAAGAAGTTCAACATACATACTTACTGAAGTCACACGCAATAAACCCACCATTATACCCGCACGTCCTTGGCCCTGTTTGGCCCTGTGCCAGATTAATATGTCTCGCCAAGGCCGGTACATCACGGTTTTGTATAACGGCTCGCGCGCTGCCAGTGGAAAACCATCCGTGCTGTGGGGGCCCTGCGCTGGCTCGGCTCGGACGTGTTCGTGGAAAGACATCGACGTTTAAACGGACTGTATTAAAGGAAAACCTCGCCCTATCACGTGGTGCTCAGCAGCCTGGCCTAATGTAAAGTCATCATAAGGCAACCCACTGGCACAGGCACCGTCCCTTTGTACCGAGCCAAAGAGCCCCGCACATGCGCCGACCACACACTAATGGTTTAACAAAAAAAAATATCTGGCTCATTGAGCGAAATCTGAATACACTTGTTATTGTCATTAAGTGTTGTATGTGCATGTGCACATGTGCGTGTATAAGTTCATGCACAGCACCGCAAGTCCGAATACCTAAGTTTCATTTCCGGCCATACACAGCTGTTGCAAGCGATGATATCCGAAACTGCCCTAGGCTTCCTGTAGGTTAACTCATCCTTCAATGAATGCTTGGCACATTTGCCGTGCTGGCCTTAATAGGTGGGACATTGACAGCACGTAAAGTGCTGTAAGCAAGCACCGACACTGCGTCGGTTTTGCATTCCTCGCACCGCGAACCACGCCGCGACACCGGTGTGCGCGCGTGTGTCCGGTCTTGTGAGGAGTGGTGGAGCAGCGGTTAGCGCAACTGCGCTGTGAACCCGTCCAGCACAGTTCGATTCCCGCGGATCACCAATAACAGTGGTGAATATTTGAACCAGTCCCGCCCCTAAGTCGGCTCAGCCTAGAAGGAGTACCTGCTGCGGTGTGTAAACCTCGGCACCCATGCGTGGTCCTGCCACCGTGTCGGCCTACAGAGGTGCTGTTCGCTGACAGCACTTGCTCCAGCAGTCTGTTAAAGGCTACAAGGGGGATCTTTGTCTTTGTGTCTAGCACATTTTGGACAAAAAGATTTAAGCAGTAAAACTGGCAATGCTAATACACAGATGGGCTTGCATCTGTGTTAAGGATGTGTGCAGCTTAAGCCATTGAAAACAAGGCATTGTGACAGCTGATAATTCCAACGAAACTCAAAATAAATCACACGTTGCGTGCAAAACTAAAGGCCTGTTTTTTTTCCATCTTTGGCCAGACAATTAAGTAATATGCAGTTTAGCATTTTATGGCAAGATTTCTTTACCACTAGCGGAATTTATGTCCGTGGACTGTGGCTTGTTTTTGTTGTTGACGTAGTCAGTATTGGTTTTGCTGTTACCTTTGGCGGGATGGTTCGGACTGCCTTTAAATCAACGTAACTGTAATTTCCACTCAAATTGTTGTGCATCAGTTTTTTCTTGATTTCTTTCCACAAGGGACAGATGGATGCCACACGTCTCTCGAGAATGCACTCCAAGCATATATTTCTTTATATTCATTAAATGCAACATTCTATGCGAATGTAGTCCAACAAGCTTGTAATGGGTGCCCACTCGCGTTTTAAACGACCCTTATATAGTGAGGGAAAAACGTATTTGATCCCCTGCTGATTTTGTACGTTTGCCCACTGACAAAGAAATGATCAGTCTATAATTTTAATGGCAGGTTTATTTGAACAGTGAGAGACAGAATAACAACAAAAAATCCAGAAAAACGCATGTCAAAAACGTTATAAATTGATTTGCATTCTAATGAGGGAAATAAGTATTTGACCCCCTCTGAATCAGAAAGATTTCTGGCTCCCAGGTGTCTTTTATACAGGTAACGAGCTGAGATTAGGAGCACACTCTTAAAGGGAGCGCTCCTAATCTCAGCTTGTTACCTGTATAAAAGACACCTGTCCAAGAAGCAATCAATCAATCAGATTCCAAACTCTCCACCACGGCCAAGACCAAAGAGCTCTCCAAGGATGTCAGGGACAAGATTGTAGACCTACACAAGGCTGGAATGGGCTACAAGACCATTGCCAAGTAGCTTGGTGAGAAGGTGACAACAGTTGGTGCGATTATTCGCAAATGGAAGAAACACAAAAGAACTGTCAATCTTCCTCGGCCTGGGACTCCATGCAAGATCTCACCTCGTGGAGTTGCAATGATCATGAGAACGGTGAGGAATCAGCCCAGAACTACACGGGAGGATCTTGTCAATGATCTCAAGGCAGCTGGGACCATAGTCACCAAGAAAACAATTGGTAACACACTATGCCGTGAAGGACTGAAATCCTGCAGCGCCCGCAAGGTCCCTCTGCTCAAGGAAGCACATATACATGCCCGTCTGAAGTTTGCCAATGAACATCTGAATGATTCAGAGGACAATTGGGTGAAAGTGTTGTGGTCAGATGAGACCAAAATGGAGCTCTTTGGCATCAACTCAACTCGCCGTGTTTGGAGGTGGAGGAATGCTGCCTATGACCCCAAGAACACCATCTCCACCGTCAAACATGGAGGTGGAAACATTATGTTTTGGGGGTGTTTTTTCTGCTAAGGGGACAGGACAACTTTACCCCATCAAAGGGACAATGGATGGGGCAATGTACCGTCAAATCTTGGGTGAGAACCTCCTTCCCTCAGCCAGGGCATTGAAAATGGGTCGTGGATGGGTATTCCAGCATGACAATGACCCAAAACACACGGCCAAAGCAACAAAGGAGTGGCTCAAGAAGAGGCACATTAAGGTCCTGGAGTGGCCTAGCCAGTTTCCAGACCTTAATCCCATAGAAAACCTGTGGAGGGAGCCAAAGGTTCGAGTTGCCAAACGTCAGCCTCGAAACCTTAATGACTTGGAGAAGATCTGCAAAGAGGAGTGGGACAAAATCCCTCCTGGGATGTGTGCAAACCTGGTGGCCAACTACAAGAAACGTCTGTCCTCTGTGATTGCCAACAAGAGTTTTGCCACCAAGTACTAAGTCATGTTTTGCAGAGGGGGTCAAATACTTATTTCCCTCATTAAAATGCAAACAAATTTATAACATTTTTGACATGCGTTTTTCTGGATTTGTGTTGTTGTTATTCTGTCTCTCGTTGTTCAAATGCACCTACCATTAAAATAATAGACTGATCATTTCATCGTCAGTGGGCAAACGTACAAAATCAGCAGGGGATCAAATACTTTTTTCCCTCACTGTATCATGATGAATGTGGCTTGATGCGCAAAACAACACGTGCACATCACGACCCGCTGCTGATGACGTGCCAAGACTTCAAACAAAAACATTTTAAATGTCTTCTCGCCCAGTGGGGGTCATTTTGGCTAAGTGTCACAGTCAAAGTCGATGTCAAATTGTGTAACAAAACTCGAGCAAAGCTTTGGGGGGGGGGGGGGGGGTGGGGGGGGGAACGTACGTACATTTCTTGTTACCCAACCCACGGTTGACATTTCACATTCCCATGGTGGGAAACAGTCTCCCCGTTAGATAGCCACTCTTAATGATAACCATTGTCAATGAATTCTCCATTGATTAGCCGTTCGTACTTACTTACTGACCGTGGGGGCACGTCGTCTGGGAACACCGTTCTCTGCGGATTATAAGACGCACTTTTTCCCTCTGTGTTTGAG